GTTTTCCATTGTCGAAGTTGGCTGAGATTTACACTAGTGTGATTGTGAAGTTGCATGGTGTTCCTTTGTGCATTGTGTCAGATAGAGATCCAAGATTTACTTCTGATTTTTGGAAGAGTTTTCATGAAGCGTTGGGTTCTAAGTTGAGATTGAGTTCAACATATCATCCTCAGACAGATGGTCAAACTGAACAAACTATTCAATCATTGGAAGACTTGTTGAGAGCATGTGTTCTTGAGCAGGGAGGTACGTGGGATAATTATCTTCCGTTGATAGAGTTCACCTATAATAACAGTTATCATTCCAGTATTGGGATGACACCTTTTAAAGCGTTGTATGGTTGAAGATGTAGAACTCTTTTATGTTGGCATGAATCTGGTGAGAGTGTAGTACTTGGACCTGAACTTGTTCGCGAGACTACTGAGAAGGTGAAGTTGATTCGAGAAAAGATGAAAGCTTCCCAAAGTAGATAGAAGAGTTATCATGACAAGCGAAGGAAAGATTTAGAATTTCAAGCGGGTAACCATGTGTTTTTGAGAGTTACACCTGTGACTGGTGTTGGGCAAGCATTGAAGTCTAAGAAGCCCACTTCTCGTTTTATTGGACCATATCAGATTTCGGAGAGAGTGGGGAATGTTGCTTATAGAGTGGCTTTACCGCCTAATCTTTCTAATTTGCACGATGTGTTTCATGTGACACAACTCCGAAAGTATATTTCAGATCCATCTCGTGTGATTCATATGGATGATGTGCAAGTATGGGATAATCTTACGGTGGAGACGATGTCGGTACAGATCGTGGATCGTGAAACTAAGACTCTAAGGGGGAAAGAGATTGCTTTGGTTAAAGTGGTTTGGCTAGGGGCTGCCGGTGAAAGCATGACTTGGGAGTTGGAGAGCAAGATGCGAGACTCCTATCCTGAGTTGTTTGATTAAGGTAAATTTTCGAGGACGAAAATATTCTAAGTGGGGGAGAGTTGTAACGCCCGTAATTTAATTAAATATTTAATTAAATTATTTTGGAATAATTGTGAAGATGTGTTGTGATTAATTGGATTTAATTATTTTATTAAGTGGTGAAATAATATTAGAAGAATGATATTATTTTGATGTGGGCTTGTTTTTATGGAATATAAGTAGTAATGAGGGGGTGTATCAGTTTTAAGCCCAATAAGGAATTAAGAGAATAATAGGTAATTTTATTATTGTTAGAAAAAATAGAAAGAAGGAGCAGTAAGAAGAATAAGAGTTGGAAAGAAGAACGTGAAGCTGTTGGAAAAGAGGAAAAAAGGTAGAACAGGAATTCAACCGGATGTATAGAGAAACCTTCAATCTAAGGTAAGGGTGGAGTTCTGACTCTATAATTGGGTTCATGATAATTGGTATGTGGGGTTATAGGCGACTATTGTCCTGTTCATGAATTGAATGTATATGAGGTTGTATAATGAAAACCGGTAAATTTTGGATGAATAATGATGTCCCGATGTTGTTTAATTGATGTAGAATTATAAGATAATTGTAAGTGATGATTATCTATGATTAGATTAAGTTTTTAAGGCTTACAGTATGGAACCCGTAGTGAAAATGTAGAGAAAATTGCAGAAATTTCCCATGACATAACAATACGCGTCGACCCCAAATGGTATGTGTCGATACATGAATGATGTTAGACTCGGGATGAGTCGACAGGAAGAGGTCTTGCATCGATACATAAGTACTTTTAGACTCAGGAAGAGTCGATACGTAGGAGCATGTATCGATACATGCAGTGTGGTAGACTCAGTATGAGTCGATACAAGAGAGGATGCATCGACTCATGTTGCGAGTTCAGTGTAGTACGCGTCGATCCAAGACGATATGCATCGATCCATGTTGTCTGGTTTTTGGCAAAATCAGTTTGAGAAGGCTGCAACTTGAGTTTTCGGAATCCGTTTGAGGTGTCGTTCGAAGTGTTGAATAGCTAACGTGATGAGCTTTATTCTTGAGGATTAAAATGAAGAATAGTAAGGATAATCCTAGTATCCAGGTTAGGGATTAGAGTTATTTCCCGCGGTAATCACTATGTTGGTTTTTATGAAGAAGGATGAGGAAGAGACGTTTATAGAGTACTGTCTGGTTTGTAACAGTAGGATTAATGATAATAATCATGTAATATTACAGAATGGTAGTATGTAGAGATTTGGTGATTTAGAAGTAAGCCTTAGTTGATTAACTAATTATAGGCAATATCTCGTATAGGCCTATGGCCAACATTGTGAATTTGATGAGTTACTGTGTATTACTGTACGACTGAGTTGTTGATGAGATGATGTTAATGAGAGTTGTTTTGATGAATTATAATGTATAAATGATGTTTGATGATTTATGATGATAAATTATGTTGATGAAGAGATGTTGAGATGCTTTTAAGATGTAGGCTTTTGGCCAACGATGATGTTGTATTGAGATGTTGTCAATTATGGTGTTGTTATTACATTCATGATTATGTCGCATACATTGCATTTTAAGATGGAGCTTATGCTCGTTGAGATGGCCTGTATTGGTGAATATTGAGATGAAGGCTTATGCCTTGTTGATGCCTCTATTAATTGGCAATTTTTGAGATGGGAGTTCTGCTCCAATGGTACCACATGCATTTGCATAGTATTGAGTCGCATTATACGATTTCCTAAAGAAGAGTGTATTGATGATGTGAATGTGTATTATTGTTGTGATTATTGTTAATTATGAGATGATAAGTGGTGATGTTATGTGATCTAATTTAATATATTAATTATCGTATGCTTTATTATATTGTTAGATATCTCACCCCTTCTGTTTGAATATTGCCCTTATGTTGGTAACGTGCAGGTAATCGAGAGTGAAGACTGTATACCTTCAATAGTTTGGGTCGGTGTCATTGCTCTGATATGTAACACTTGGGGGATGAACGCTTGTTGTTTTTTATTGTTGATTATTCAGTCGTTGAACTTTAAGTTGATGATTATTAAATTGTGTTGTTCTGAAGTTGTTGTAATGATGATAAAGATGTTATTAAGAATTCTGCTGCGTAGATGTTAAATTATTGAATTATTTAATTAAAGTATCTATGCTGATGGTTCATCCGAAGTTTTAAAGTGTTATGTATCCACGATGAATGCAATGAGTTTTTAATGATGAATTTGCAGCATCCTGATTCGTTTGTGTGAATGATTTTATAACTCTGATTTATTTATATAATTTCTATGGTAGAATTGGGGTGTTACACTTACACTAATATCATTTACTTGGGGTACTTTGATGATTTTGAGAAGATCCATGAGTGGAACTGAGGGGCTGCTTGTTTGGTGTACTTGCATCATAAGATGTCTGAATGCTGCAAGTGTAAGACGAATCAGATGACCGACAATATCACACTCTTGACCGTACAATTTATTGGTCTTATATTGTGATTCTGTTTTGTTAATTATTGATACTAGCTAATAATCATTGTAATTTTAGACCTGGATCCTACAATACTTCCCCCGCATTTCGGGTTGGTCATTGGCCTTAGGTTATACTGAAGAAAGGTTGTGTGCCGTTGTATTCGACCCGCTCCAAGGGAACCAGGCGACAGAGCCATTTCGAGTGTATATTGACCTGTTGGTATTTTATGATATACACTTTCATACTTACGTCGACAACCGTGTCACAATTCCATTTGATAATGTTACACTGTATTCTGGACGGTTGGCTTGCGAATTGTGCAAGACAGCTGCTCATCTGCCTGAGCGCGTCATGCGTCATTTCGGGTACATGTAGTATATTCCCTGGAATCCTGTTGTGTCTACTCCTCCCTTGGTGAAACAAAGGGATATGGATTCCTTGTTTGATGATTATGAAAATCATCTTGTGCCAGATGAAGCCCGAAGTACCTTAGCACCAGACTACTTGAGCTACATGGACGGTTATATCATATGGTTCTCCAGGGTGTCTCATCCATATCTGGTACAAGATGCTCCAGGAAACCCACATATGCCAGCTCATCAGAAGATTCTAGAGGAGGAGCAGGCCAGGGCCGATCATGCCACTGATGTGTTGCCTAGGTGTCGTCGTATCATGGACATTGCGCAGACGGATATTGATGGTGGTTTGTTTCCTAATGGCTCTGATATTATAGGTGTTCTAGATACCATCATGACAGAGGCTCAGGGGGCTCTGTAGTACAGGAGGCAGCGAAGAAACGCTGGGAGGGAGAAAGGTCGACTCATAGTCCACCATACCCAATAGTCTTCTTCAGTGTTAGATTTTATTTGTCGATTTTTGGATTGTATTTGAATAATATTTTGAGTTACTGTCTTTATTGACTGAGGACACCTTTTGTATTGTTGATTGGTGTCGTGTGTGTCTATGTGCGCGTGCGTGTATGTGTGTGTGCGTGCGTGCGTGTGAGCATGCGTGTGTGTGAGTGTGCGTGTACGTGTGTGTACGCTATGGATGTGGGTTAAGAAATCCCCATAAAAATACTCAATGTATACTTATTTATAAAAATATTATTTTTTGTAAATATATTGAATAGTTAATGTGGACAATATATAAATCATATACATTATATATTATATATTTCAATAAATTTTAAAAAATAATTTTTACTAGAGAAGTTATATAAAAGAAAAATTTAAATAGATTTAAACTTACAACTAAGATAAAACCCTAATCACCTAATTCTCACACGGAAAAAGGTTAACTTTCTTCTCTCAAACAATTTCTACTCTTTTATTCAAAATTTTCAGTTCCACTATTATTCCAACAATTACTTATCAATTAATAAAAAACCCTTATTGTTAACATGATTGTCGATTACTTTAATGTTTCTGTCATGTTTTTTTATGTTCTAAATCTTATTCTCCGTTTAACCTAGGAATTTTGAACTGCAATGTTGTAGCTAAACACATTCATGTTCTGAACCTTATTTGTTTATGTTAATGTTTTGTTAGTGGTTGAGTATTGCTGATAACATTAATACCTAAAGACTAAAAGACAATGGTGCTGTCTCATGGGAATACACACTCCCACACTGCAAAGATGGAACAGATAATCACTGAATTTTTCGCAAAATGTCTTCATATAATACTTGAATCGGGGGTACTTCATGGGTCTTCGCGTAATTCTTATGGTGATGGTGAGAAATCGGATTTATCACCGTGTTCGTCTTCTTTGCCTTTACCGAGTGTGAGACAGAGGGATAAATGGTTCAATTTGGCACCACGGGAGTGTCCTGCAGCGTTGGTGAACTTTAACAATCTTGAATGCCTTATCATTGATGTGATTTTGGTTCACAGGTCTCTAGATTTGGACCCCATGGCCCCAAAAAGGGTTCTTCCTAAGATTTCTTCACTGAAAGAAAGATATCCACTTTGCTACCATGGAGAAGAATTAGGGGTTGAGGCAAAAAGTGAAAAGATTGTGGAGATATGGGTTGTGCAGTATGAGAATAGGAAAATAAATTATTCTAATTCTAGAACTAGGAGGTCGAGCAATTTTTCGTTGCAAAACTTGTATAATAAATTAACTGATATCTTGAGATCTTTATATGCCAAAGTTAGACTTTTACCTGCCTATAAAATTTTCAATGATCTTAGTTTGTCTGAAAAGATTCGTCCCTTTACCCTTGCTCATCGCGTGTCTTCTTTTGTTGAGCCGTTCACACTAAAAGAGGAGTCTGAAATGATGAAATATAGGTTTACTCCTGTAGATACTTCTTCTGGCAGGCTCTGCCTTAAAGTGATATATTGCCCCTCAGCCTCGAATTTGATCGGTAATAGATTACATTCTCTATTCCCACCAGTTATTCCTGACTATGTTGGAAGCCCATTGGCAGATCCATTGAGGAAGTTCTCATCACTTTCGCCAAGACGACATAGTTCTAATTTCGATGATTGTAAAGCCTCGTCTACTTCCATCACTGATTCATATTTTCCTATATATTCAAAATCACACATCAGTGTCTAATGAGTTTTGGGTGTCATGGGTTGCAAATTAAATGTTAACATGTTATATGAAATGGAATAGATCTAACTCAAATACTCAATACACAAATGTCAGTGTGTTTTGAGACCAATGACCATAGAGCTTTCCATTAGAGATCGTCGAATTGATACAATGAGGAAAGCACAATATGAAAAGAGTCACTTGGACAAGTAACAAACAATTTGTATCTAGCAACAAGACAAAGATATAGTCATCTGACTTTAGGCAAGACATAAACAAACCACAAAGATAAAAACTAATATTATAGGGTTACAGTACTCTGAATCCTAAATAAATTAGGAAATTAGGAAAGCAATCTGATCGTGACTTTGTGAGTCTTAAATAATCTAGACCGCAAGAATACAGTCGTATCGCGTGTAGCTTTAAATATTATTGAATCCTAAGGGACTAAATGTCAAACTATCGTTATCTTAGGTTACTACGTAAATCTAATGCTAATAGTGTAGTTAATAGGGGGTTTAGGGAACCTAACTGATTATAATCTAGTTTAGATTCAAGGGAGAATATCGGTATGTAATGGTCGAACTTCAGAGATTTAGCAACTCATTGACCTAGCTTGGATTAACAAAACAGTTTTCGGTAGGAAGCATTTGTTTAAAAACCCTCTTCTCACACTCTCGTGTTTATTGATTAAGATCCTACGATCAAACCTAAGTGAGTGCTCTCGCTGTTTCAATTAGAATTTAAAAATAGTTTTTGAAAACAAACAAAACCTAATCAACTTAAAAGCGCTCTCACTATATTTTAAGTTGATGCACGATTACTACTGTCCAGTTATTATCTCAAACTCTCGTTTTATTAATCCTAACCTCTATCTGTATTTTACTCTCGTAACAAAACAATTAATATTTAAAACTAGTAACTGAAACAAGAAAATTATTCTTTCGTTAAAAGGAACTGATCATTTGGCGTTGCTGAAACCCCGTTGGCTATATAACCTTACATACCGATAAATAAATTTAGCCTAGCATATTAAACGACTCAATAACAATGCAACATAAATAATTATCATCAAACAATTTAAATAAACAAAACATTACGGACAATCTTGGCATAAATAAATAAAGTACTTAAATTAAACCTGAAAGTATTACAGCAGAATATTTGTCTGATGTCTGATGTCTCCCACAGATCGGTAAAGAAAATAATACGGAACAAAATAATGCGGAGAATATTTTTGGTAGAGTAACAGTAAAAACAAGGAAAAGAAAAAATTTCTAAAATGGAGATTTGAGGTACTATTTATAGCCTTGGTGTCGCGTGGGGGTTGAGATATTTTCTCCTCCTGAATTGACTCAGTGTAACGGTCGTTACACTCTTTCTTTTGAGGGAGGGCTGGCGTGGCAGGGTGTAACGATCGTTACACTCCTGCTTTTGAGGAGAGGCTTGCATGGTGGGGTGTAACGGTCGTTACACTCCTTTGGGCCAATGTGTAACGGTCGTTACACTCCCTTAGTGGATCGGGCCAGCGCTTCTTTCTTAGGCTTTTTGCTTTTAGTGCATCCTATTCTACCACACACCCCTTGTTGGCTCCTAAATTCGACACCCTTGTTTTATTGATGTCAGCCATTAAAGCTGAAGGATGTTTTCGACTGGCTAAGTCTGTCGAAATGCCCGTCGAAAGATGACAAAGTACTTAGAAGATTTCTTCCAAGGGAGAAGTTGGTTGCCTTCGACGTCGAAGGAGTTTCTCGTCGAAGATGTCTCTCGACGAAAGTGTTCGATGGTTCAGAGTGAAGCAGTTTGAAATTCAAGCGTTTGGAGGGAAAACGGTTTCCAGCAGTTACCACGTGCAACGTGCAAAGATCTGGAGCGTCGAACGTTGAGAACGTGCCAAGTGGATTGATCTCGAAGCAGTGCAACTGCCCGACGGTTACTTGGGATGTTTTAGTATAAATAGTGGTAGTCATGTAAGTTCTCGAGTGTGTTCACAATTCTATACAAAGTCACTCATATAGATTCGAGTACCCAGCGTGTGAGAAAGAATTGTTGAGAAATGTATGTGTGAAACACCAACTTTATTAATCAAAGTCATTTACTTTTCCAGAAATTTACTTGCTTTCCTCTTTACATTCCTGTCGAAGCCTTTTACATTAAGCCTTGTTTATTTTACCAAGTCTTTCCTTCATGCAATTTACTTGAAACCTCTTTATTTTATTTAAAGCCTCTTTATTTAAAGCCTTATCCAATTTAATCAAACTTCAAAATCAACCTATGTCCTAGGATCAATCTGATCGATCCTGCGAGTAACCAAATAAGTAACCATTTGGAAGATCAGCGGTTGTTTACCAAAACCCAAGGTAAACAAATTGGCACGCCCAGTGGGACCGTGTGTTGATTGTTGAAAATAATCTCATCTTTTCGAGGAGTGTTGTATGTTATTGAGAAGTGGTAGAATATACACTAACGATAACAATACTGCCAGAGGAAGGGAAGAGATGGCGAATCCGCCAAACAATAACGAAATCCCACAAACGAGTGTGGGAGCAACGGTTAGTACGACCGTAAGTGAAGCGACAACTGTTGGTTCGACACCAGCAGTAACAGTCACAACAACGGGGCCAATACCTTCGTTCACAGGCCCCAGGATGCCTTTGGGAACTCCCCCACCAAGGGGAAATTTAGGCACAAGGCCTTTGGTTCCCCCAGGATTTATTCCATTCTATGGTATGCCAACTTCTGAAGTGGCAAGCCTGACGAACGCTGCGTCCACTTTTTCAGACCCTTTAGTGAGCGCCTCTTCGCCACTCCAAGGCTCTGGAGTAGGCATGGCGAATAGAAATAGGACTCAACTCTTAGGAGGAACGTCCCAAGTAGCCCATGGCCTTACAAATGCCTCGACAGCAGTCTTGAGGCAACAAATGGACGAAAGCAACCATGATATGGTGCAAATGTTGGCACAGACTTTGAGTACTGTGCTAAACCCTCTAATACAAAACACTACTCAATCGAATCAGCAAGTGACAGCGCAAATGGCGCGTTTGGCTGATTTCTTTGGAGTACCCCAACCTATTCGACAGCCCCAAAGGGCGCAAATAAGGGGAAACCAGGGGATATTTTTAGAGGAAGAAACCACCATTAACCAGGCTCAACAGCCTGTCGAAGAAAACCTTAGGGCACGATTGGAACAACCTGTCGAGGAACCTAGGGTAATAACCCCAGAGGTAAGGTTAGTTAACAGAAACCAAAATGCTGACGAAGTAGTTCAGCATATCCAATACCAGAACATGGGTTTGGAAAACAATCTGGCAACCATGATTGAAAGGATCATGACTCATAATGGGATGAACATGGGCTTTCGAAGGCCCAACTTTACATCTCCATTGTCAGAATACGTGTTACAAACAGACTTACCTCCTAGATGCAAAGTCCCTAAATTTACTAAGTTCTCTGGGGACACGACAGAATCTACTGTCGAGCATGTGGCGAGATATTTGATCGAAGCAGGTGACATTTCGAATAACGAAAACCTAAGGATCAAGTACTTCCCAAGTTCTTTAACAAAGAACGCTTTTACTTGGTTTACAACTCTCCCCCCCCAATTCGATCCATCATTGGACCCAGTTGGAAAGATTGTTCCATGAACAATTCTACATGGGGCAAACCAAGATAAGCCTGAAAGAATTGGCCAGTGTGAAGAGACGTTTCACTGAACCTATAGACGAATATCTAAATAGGTTTAGGTTGCTCAAGGCGAGATGTTTTACACAAGTGCCAGAACATGAGTTGGTCGAAATAGCCGCAGGAGGTTTAGATTATTCCATTAGGAAGAAGCTAGACACCCAATACCTAAGAGACATGGCCCAACTGGCCGATAGAGTTCGACAGGTAGAACGCCTCAAAGCTGAAAAGGCAAAGGCAACGAAAACTCACAAGAGAGAGAGGATAGCGTACGTTGAGATGGATGACGAAGATCCGGAATCCTTCGACGATACTTTAACTGTCGAAGAGGGAGAAGTCGATTTAGCAGAACTGAAACAAGGGCCACCATACTCTTGTAAACTGTTAGTCCCCTCAAGTGGGAAAAATCCCATTGGTCCAGAAAGGACCAACGATAGGTTCCCAAAAAAGACTTATAGTTTTGACATCACAAAATGTGATGAAATATTCGACTTGCTGGTTAAAGATGGCCAAATGATAGTACCCCCAGGGGTAAAAGTGCCTCCTCTTGATCAAAGAAAGAAGAGAGGTTTTTGCAAATATCATAATTTTTTGGGCCATAAAACTTCTCAATGTTTTCTTTTCAGGAATCTTGTGCAAGACGCTATCGAAGAAGGGAGATTGAAGTTTGCTGACAAATCCCCCATGGCTGTCGACTCAAATCCATTGCAGGCTGAAGCCCACTATGCTGAACCCTCTGAGGTGAACGTGGTAGAGGCAACCAGGATCCAGTCGAAGAAGCCAGGAATTACCATGGTCGAAGTCTCAAAGGACCACGTCAACATGCCAATCTTTGGCAGTTTTTCTGGAAATTTATCCAGGAAGACAATTGAAGTTGTTCAGAAAGCGGTAGAAAGCCTGAAGTTGGAGACCGCTGAAGCACAAAAAACTGGACCAAAATCCAGTTCCCACTTGGCCACAGCTCAAGGCCAGACGGAGAATCTGGAGATACAAATGAAGCAGTTAACTCTTGCTAACAAAGATACAATGAATATCAACATGGTTGAACTTTCTGACCCAAAAGCATCAGAAGAGGCCATGAGGCAAGAACAAGCTAATAAGACTGCTTTCCCTCGGGAAAATGAAAACTTGGCAGATTTTCTACAAAGATGCCAGAAAAAGAAATCAGAGGTGATGCTGTGTCCAAGATGCAGTTCGATCTTTGACAAAAAGGCTGCTGAGCACATTCAAGGCGTAAGAGCAGCGAATAAGAGAAGGGAAAATGTTGACCTTCGACATGATCCCAGAAGAACTTCCCAAAGAGGTTCAAACCAAGAAAGGAGGCCATTGACTTTTAGGCC